TGTCATCTTTAATTTGTCTCCGTTAGAAATAATTAAAAGAGATTTCGACCAAAGTCAAATTATTTGCTCCGTTCGATTCGTATCAATCGAAAATTTAATTAGGAAATGTGCCATTTTCGGTCGGGTTGAATCTTGGCAGCCTGATAGTGGCATTTCTTATATACAAATTTTGCATGCTTTTCATCAACGCCAAAAAGTTAAATCGATGATGGATTTAAGTATGTAGATTTACTGTTCCAGCAATCTGTGTGACAATCGGCGCGCAGTTTACGTCGGAACAAGTATACGAGAATTCACACAGAAATATTATCGTCGGGCCACCAAGATTCAGCCTGACCGAGGGTGGCATTTCCTCTAATTAATTGTTAGATTCATATCGGTCCAGTTTCACTTCTTATTGTAGCAATCGAGTTAAAGTCTCAAGGTACTCGCGGGAGCAGGAAGTGCGTACGAGCTAGCAGATCGCACACAAAGGGGCGAAGGGGAGGGACCCCGACCGCTGCTGATCCGGGTAAACTGTGCCACCACGAGCGTTAATAACGTTTCACTTGTTGCGTTTTCTCGGAAAGCTTAATTAATCATTAGATCCCGCCGGCGCGCGGGTGGAAGCGGGGAGGAAACTCCGACGCGCGGTGAGGAGTGCGAAGGGGAGGGGGGGACCGCCCGGCCCGTCGCTGTTGCAATCGGTAGCGCACGATGCGGTCGTGCGTGCGTACGTACGCGAAATCAGAAAAACGCCCTATCTCGACTGTATCCAGACACGCGACGCGCACGAGGGACGGCATGCGCTTCGCGATGCACCGCGCGCCCGTGGCGTTGCGACGTGGCGCGCTCGCCCGCGCGACGCCCAACACGGCCCCGGTATCCGTCCGCTCCGGGACCTCTCGCAGCGAGAGGATCGCGCGGGAGATCGCAGCCGGATTGAGAACGAGCAAGTCTGATTTTTGTCGAGACCCGCGCGCCGTCCGCTCGTTACGCGTCGCTCCTCGGCGATGCGGCTCGCCGTCGAGTCCGCTTTCGATTATCTTATCCGGAGAACCTGCACCGGAAAATCATTTTCCTCGAGTCACCTTTCTATCCGACGCTGGCCAAGTAGCTTATACGTACATTAGATAACATCGACGTTATATTTTGTATAAAATAATTGAACGTAAGAAGACTAGAGATAAATCGTTTACTAAGAAGAAATGATAGCAAGATAAAAACACGTTATTATCTCTCTCCCCTCTTTTTACTATTTTATTTTTCTCTCGTCTTAAATGTTTTTCTGTTCTCTCGCTCGCTCTTTAATCTCTCTATTTTTTTGTATCGTTTGAACGCTTCGGGGTACTTTCCTGGACTCTTGGCACTAGCATAAGATAAAAATTGAAATAGCGGATTATACAATTTTAGCTCTGGATA